CTTTTCTCCTTTCCTTTTACAATATTATTAGTGTCATTAACCATTAAGGAAGCTCAAATCAAAATCATAATAAAGTATCATCTCACATTCAGTAACATAGTCATAATCAAAAAGAAGAAATAAGCATTGGGAACTCACAACCCTGCTTGCAGAAACAGAAAATGGAAAAACTACTTTAGAAAACAGCCCATCAATTCACAAAAGGCTAATAATATATGACCCAGTAACTCCACTGCTAGGTATACAACCAGAAAAACTAAAAACATATGTTTATTATGCTTGACTTTTGCATAGGAGCATTATTTGTAATAGTTTTAAAAATGTAAATAATTATGATGTTCATTCCTGACAAATGAATAAATATATCCATAAAATGGAATACTGGATAGCAATAAAAAGGATGACCTTGATAAAAGTTACAATATGAATAAATTTTGAATATATCATGTGAGTGAAAGAAGCTAGTCATAAAGAACCACAATTTATATGAAGGACTCAATTTTTATGAAGTGTTCAGAACAGGTAAATCTAGAAGCAGAAAGCAGATTAGTGGATAACTCAAGTTAAATCCTGGTCTAATACCAGATTGCCAGAACAAATAAATCTGTCTTGAAGGAAGTATAAGGGTGCTCTTTCAGAGGCACCTGAAGCAGAATGAAACTTCGAACTTTGTCTTACATACTTTAGGAATGCTATCTGGCCTTGAGTGAAAGGGAGGAAGACCTGCAACAAGACAGACTGACAGAGTAACTACAACAACGGGCTTGAACATGGCACAGATGAATAGCATGGCGCAAAATAAGGCAAAGTTTTACTCTGTTCACAGGATCTTGATGAATGGAAGCAGTATTGATGGCACCAACAAACAACAACAGAACTGGGAAGGCTGGGGAAGGAGACCTCGTAGAATCATTGGTAATGGTATGGGATTTCTTTCAGGGGCAATAAAAATGTTCTAAGATTGATTGCACAACCTTATAAATATCCACAAACCACTGCATTGTGTACTTTAAGTGGGTGAATGACATGGTATGTTAATTACATCTTAATTTGCTATTATTAAAAGTATCAGTAAAGGCTCAAGAGAATTAATGTTAATTGATGCAATTAAATGTTACTGAAGTACTTTTCTAATACTGTTTAAATGGTTTTAATTTTAAGTGAGACTGAATAATCTATTACACAACTAGAACTTCTTAAAATTATCAATGTAATAAATTTACAATATATTTGCTTTCAAGTAAAAATAATCCTACCCATACTCCTTGATCTCAAGTTGATTATCACTCATAGAAGTCCAGAAGACAGAGCAGAACTGCCTACAGAATTTACAAGCTTGTAATCTTTATGAGAGTACATTGCTCCATCTTTCATGGAGTGGTTGCTCAGTTCTATCCGTGAACCTTTCAGTTAACAACTGAGATCCACCAGGGTTTCTAAAAGATTTATGTTTTGTTCTAAATATAATGTTTTACATGATTTTCTTATTTTAGTTTTAGATGTTAAAATTAATATTTCAATCACTCTATCACTGCCATAAGAAGTTATGATAAAATTGACAGCTTAACACAAAATATATTCTCTTATAATTCTATCCCCACTTTGGGGGTACAATGTGTTACACATAGCTCAGATATCTGGTATAGATCACACTAAACTAAAATAAAAATGTAAACAGGGTTGCATTCTTTTCTGGAGGATCTAAGGGGATAATTGGTTTTCATATTCTCTTGTTATTTTTTTTTGTTTTTTTAAATGCATAGTTCCTTTCCTGTATGATTAATGCTAGAACCATTATACCTCTCTGATCTAGTAACTATAATCTTTATGTCTCTCTTAGTGTCTACAGTGTGGGCAAGTCATCCTGTTTTTCAGAACCCATGATTATATTGGACCCATTATATATAATCAGAGTTATCTCTTTATCTTAAAATACATAGCTTTAATCGTCTCTGCAAAGTCCCTTTTGTCATCTTAGGTAACATATTCACAAGTTTCAGAGATGAATGCATGGTTATCTTTGAGGTGCCATTATTCTGTAAACTATCTGTAGACATAAAATATACAAACTGAATTTTTTTTTAGCAATTATACTGTCCTAAGCACTAGTGTCAGTTTGAACACAAAGGCCTGATTGACCCTGTTCTGTTTAATCACTTGCTATGCATCTCAAAGCTGGACAATGAATAATTATGTCAGAAAAGAATAGATGCCTTTGAGCTACGCTGTTGGAGAATACTACTGAATATCCCACAGAACCCCAAAAAGAACAAACTGATATGTCTTGGAGAAAATTCAACCAGAATGCTTGTTGGGCATGTTGCTAGGAGTGGTTATTCCTTGCATAGGGATATAATTCTTGGAAAGATAGAAAGTCAGTGAAAGAGAGGAAGATTCTTTATGAGAGAGATAGACACAGTGACAGCAGCAATGACCTAATGTGAGTCAGAGATGATGAAGATGGCACAATTACACAAAATAATGTAGATCATTTCCATAGCGACATGTGATTTTAGGCAAAAATTTAATAAAGATCTATCTGTCTCACATACTTTGGGCATGTTGCCAGGAGAGATCAGTCTTGGAGAAGGACATCAAACTTGAAAATGTAAAGATCAATGCAGAAGAGACAGGCCTTGGATGAGATGGACTGACAGTGACTGTGGCAATGGAGTCAGGTGTGCCAGAGATGGTTAAGCTGGCTCAGGATAGGGTAAGGTTCCGAGCCACTGTTCATAAGGTTGCTATGAATCATAGTAGACTCAACGACACATAACAACATAAATATTGCCATCAAGATGTCTATCATTAAAGTCTATCCAAAAAAGACATTTACAAGTATTGTAACATGTAAGTACAGGTCACACATCTACATTAAATTTAATGTAAAGAATCTGAGGATTTTATTTGGGATTTATTTGGGATAAATGCCTAGGTTTCTTTCCTTTCTTGCTCTGACCCTTCCACCTTTCCTAGCATGATGTGTTTTTCCAAGGACTGGTCTCTCCTGACAACATTCCCAAACTATGTGAAAATTTCAACATTCTTGCTTCTAAGGAACACTCAGGTTGCATTTCCTCTAAGACTTGATTTGTTCTTTTGCTAGTCCATGCAATATTCAGTACGGAAAGAACTGATTATTTATATGCATAACCTTTTCTCTAGAGAAAAGTGGATCAAAAGGTATCTTTCTTCATATAAAATGCTCTTCCTTTGAAAACAAACTGTATGACCAGTCCAGATTTATTTTTTCCATACGTGTTTATTAAGAAAATAATAATGCAAAAAAAAAAAAAAAAAAAAATAATAATGTAATACACTGGACTAAATAAAAACATGGCTATGCTACTGCGGCAATAGTAAGCAATAAGAAGTTTATCCTAAAAATGTAATATGAAACTGAAAGTAGGAGTCCACTTAGGAGATAGAGTAAAAAGACTAGAATTAGTAATATAATGCTCGTGAAATAGAAGACAAAAGAGTGATTTGAGGGAAACTGGAAGAATCGGGTGTGAAAAAGAACATACTCAAATTTTATAAATAAACTAGTATAATAATATAATAATAAAAAAGTGGTGTGAACCATTAAGACAGCACATTAACTGTCCCTCTCATTTTTATTGCTGTTGAGTCGAAACTGCCACATAGCTGACCCTCTGTACATTTTCCAAGGCTCTGAAACCTTGGTTCTTCTATTCAGATCTTTTATTTCATCATTTCATCCTTTTGCTTGAGAGTATATGTTGAATATCAAGTTTCACACTCTCTTTTAACATTTAATCTTATCACTCATTAATTTTTTTTAGTGGTTACCTTACAATTTACTATTTTATCCCCAAGTCTAAAACAGTTCACTTTAGCTTGCAATCTCCCAAAATGCTTTGTTTGAAAATCTTTAAGCCTTCTCTTTAAGGAATTTTCAATGAGAAAAGCCTAACAAACTGACAGAAAAGTTGGGGAAGACATACACATGCTTCCCAAAAGAAATAGAATTATTCAAAGATTATAATAAACAGTTATTCAAAATTATTAGTTACCTAGGGAAAAAAATCACAAAGTAGTCTTTTACATATATCACATCGGAAAACAATGGACAAAACAACTCTGCAAAGCAACAAAACCAAGATAAAAGAAACTATTACTTACTACTGCTAGTAGTATAGAAACAACTAGTTTGGAAACAATTGATATTATCAAGCAAACCTAAAGACATTGTTTACAGGTCAGAGACTGAGTTAATATAATTCCTAACTCCCTGTTATGGTATTCCAAGAGGAAGTTACAAGAATCTTCAAAAGTGAATTGGATATAACTTTAAAAAGATAGAAGCCATCCAACCACATATCAGGAAAACAAGAGAAACCAAACTAGTTTCAGCAGAAAACTATGTATTAGTGAAAATGAATGAGTATGGCTACATAGATCAATGTATAAATTTCTCCATCACAATATTCAAAACAGAAAAGTTTTAAAAAGCATGAATCAAGTAAATAAAACATAAAACTTTCAAAACTAATTTAAGAATACATACAACTGGTATGTATTATGAAGGGGAAAAACCCAAGAATGTGAATGTAAAGTTGAGGAAAGAGCCTCTGGGAAAGACAGTTGAGAATGTGATTGTTGAGGGGTTGTCAGAGGCATTAAAAAGTCTGGTAATGTTCTCTTTCTAAAGTTGGGCAGTGGCTATGTTGGGTGTTCATTACTACTGTTCTTTAAATTGAACCTAAAAACTATACATTGTATATTTCACAATGTAAAATAATTTTTAAAAGAATAACCAATAACAATAAGCACATTTATTTCTTTGGCTCATGAGTATATGGTGTCATAATTAAGCCACTGGCAGCTGACCAAAATTAGTGGTTTAAATCTACCAGGTGTTCTGGTAAGAATGATGCACTAGCCAACATCCATAGCTTGGAAACCCTGTCTATAGAGTTGCTATAAGCAGAGATCACCCTGGTAAAAACTGAAATGATAAATAAAGAATACATTACCGTGTTTCTTATTGGAATTTTCTTGGGTTCTGGTGGCACATCCTGTGGAACAAACTTCACTGGCTCCTTAATTTGTCTCCTAGACCGTTTGGTACCATCTGGTAAGGTTTCCATGGCCATGTCTGCTTCCATATCACTACTTCCTGCCTGATCACATTCTGAGCATTGCCTAAATAAAGATAAAAAACTAAAATGTTCAATTCATACATTTATTTTTTCCCCTTCAAGCTTTAGCTATAGTTTCTACAAATACAAAGTTCAAGCATATGTGAAAAATATATAAAAGTACACATGATCACAAGATATCTAGTGACTAAAGATAGAGAAATACATACCTATTTGGTTTAGAGTAAGAATTATGAATACAATACATTAGGACATTTAACCTATCTTATTTTCATAAGAAAATAAGTAATTTGCTGTATGTGTAAGTGAACAAACCTAGGAGATTCAGCACTGATTAAAAAGATAGTTTCTCCTGGAAAACCATGACTTTCTTAAGTGACACATACTTGAAAATCAAAATCATTAATTGACTTGTCTCTAGTCATTGTTACAGCTATTGTTATCTTTTAATCTTAGTTAACAACATGTTCTGCTTAATATTCTACCTAAGAAACCTGTCGGAAAAAAGACTGTAAGAGGAACTGGGTAGAAGGAAGAAAAGATTATTTTAGTTGGTGGACTGTTGTTAGTTACCATCAAGTGAGTTCCAACTCATGCTGGGCCCATGAATGTTGGAGTAGAATTATGCTCTACAGAGTTTTCAGTTACTGAGACCTTTCAAAGTAAATCATTACTTTCTTCCAAGGTAATGCTGGAAGAATTGCCAACCTTGTGGTTGGTAGGCAAGTGATTAACCATCTGTGTCACCGAGGGACTAAACCAGAGGACATATTGTTTTATGCTAGTACATGTTTCAAGTTAGCTTTTGCAGTAAGGATCTGGGACTATCTCTGACTCACAGAATTTAACAATTTTCATAACAGAAATTTCAAGCTATCACATGACAACAATGAATATGAAGTTGGAAAAAGACATGTAGTAGCACTTCAGAATAGTTTTTCTACCATTCAAGGAGCTCTGGTGGCCTAGTGGTAAGAATCTGCACTGCAGTCCTGAAGACATACAGTTCAAATCTGACACTGCGCAATGAGAGAAGACTAGGCAATCTCCTTCCTTGCATTTTCAGCTTTTGAAAAATCACTGGATGGTGGCCTAATAGAAAGAAGGTGCACTGCAATCCCAGAGGCGTGTGGTTCAAATCCACCAGTTGCTCTGTTGGAGAAGGAGAGGTAATCTCCTCCTGTACCAGTCAGATCCAATTTGAGTGTACACACACAAAATCGTAAAAAAAAGAAAAGAAAAGCGGCTGGAGAGTCAGCTATGGGTTGGTTCCTACTTGATAGTACACAACAACAACCATTAACAGGAAACACTTAACCTGAAGAAAATAATAGATATTTGGTAACTGATGTGTTTTAACTTTTTAATAATATTTACTTTTAATATAACTTCAAAAGTAAATATAATTTGTTAAAAGGAGAAAGGTTTCTATTTTTATTTAAGACTCCTTTCAGATCTATGTATGGGTAAGCAGCTATGTTAGGAATAGCCATATCTTATTTTAAGGACAGAGCTACACACACCCTTTACCCAGGATAATAATAACAAAACACCCCAACCCTGGAAACTACCACAGCAGTTTTTATCAGAAAACCATCTAGAATACTTACTAATATTTCTGTCATTCTATTATGTAGTTTCTTCTAAAATTCTGGAAGTTCAATATATACAGATATTGGAAGAAATAAAATCTATTATATTTGAAAATAGCAGACCAGTGTGAGTGTCTCAAAACAAACATAAGACTAATACTAAAATGTAATCATGTGACTGTGCTGAAAGGATACAAACTTCATATCATGATGAATGTAGGCAGCCCTACTGGATGAAACAATGTGCTTAGTACATTTAAGGAACACATATGACTTCTTGTGGTTGTCATTTAAGAAGATGGGGTTCATTCACTATTTTTAAAAACTTAGAAAAGTAATTTATAAAATTAGAATACTCATGTTCATTCCAAAGCTTTCTCTTTCCCATATCCTTCTTCCTATAAGGAATGACCCCACTGAAATATAAACATCTGTCTCTCCCTTGGATTAACATTAAGAGTAAAATTCATTATATAACATAAGCATTTATGAAACATTTGTAGCGAGTCAAATCTCCCAAAGCTAATGAAAAAAATAATTCAGACATATATGCCAAATATTCAGGGATTTTAAAAAAATGGTTGAACATAAACAGTACATAACAAAGCAATAAAGATGAGAAATAAACTCTTAAGTGACATTAATTTAGAAATGAAATATTAAATTCCAAGTGAAAGGATGAATATAGAAGCAAATTTTCAAAGAACTGAATTTTAAAATAAAAATAAAGCACTTAAGAAATTCTTATTGTAAAACAAAAGAGAACCACAATATATTGGACAGACCTCATACCTAAAGTAAGAATCCGCAACTAAGACACTCAAACAGATTCAATTAACTGAAAATTCATTTCTCAAGAACACTCTTACAGTTTATTCATATTACAGTTCTACGCATATGTCATGAAAAATATTTATAGAAGTAATTATTATAAAAATCGCTAAAAAAATTATTATACACAAACATAACTAATTTTAACATTTAAATTTCTTCCAGTTTTCTTACCAATAACTGTTTTTGGTCTTTCTTGGCATCCGTGTTAGAGGGGGATCTAGACATCCAAGATGGTAATGGAGTTTGCAGGTATCACATAACAAAAGAAGATGCTGATCATGATTCTTCTTACAAATCCCACAACTTTGAACAAAATTGAACAAAAATTAATTAGTATCATAATGAAATACCTGCAATATGCAGGTATTTCATTATTGCAAACAGATCCATCTTGGAGAGGATTAAACCAAGCTACTCCTTGGAGGCAAGGATTCTGGGGCTTCGTCTGACATACTTTTTGGACATGTTTCCAGGAGGGACGGGTCTTTGGAGAGGGATATCATGCTTGGGAGGGTGGAGGGACAGCGCAGGAGG